GCTACATAACCGATCTAAGCCTTTCCAAACCGGCCCGAACAAGACACTTCGCGGAAGTTTTCGTTCCGCACAAGTTGCCGGATATCTGCCAAAAAGAAGAACCCAATCAAGGAAAGGGGGGACGAATGAATATGAAAAAGACACTTCTCGCAGCTTTTCGTTCCCCACAAGTTGCCCCCGGTAAGACCGCCCACACCACCCCAAAAGCAAGCTGCAGCACGCATGTCGCCAGACACTACATAATAACCGAAGAAGAGAGTTGTCGGAAGTTTTCGTTCCGCACAAGTTGCCGGATATCAGCCAGAAAGAAAAGCCCATCGACCAAAAAAAAGGGGAACGAAAGGATATGAACAAGATGGAACCCACGAACCCGAATGCAAACACGATCGAAAAACTAATATGTCCAAAGGACACTCTTGTAGGACACTCTTGCGGGACACTCTTGCGGGACACTCTTGTGGGACACTTTTGTGGGACACTCTTGTAGGACACTCTTGTGGGACACTCTTGTGAGACACTCTTGTAGAACACTCTTGTGGGTCACTTGCAGGACACTCTTGTGGGACACTCTTACACGACACTCTTGTAGGACACTCTTGTGGGACACTCTTGTTGGACACTCTTGTAGGACACTCTTGTCGGAAACTCTTGTGGGACACTCTTGTGGGACACTCTTGTGGGACACTCTTATAGGACACTCTTGTGGGACACTCTTGTGGGACACTCTTGTAGGACACTCCTGTACGACACTCTTGTAGGACACTCTTGTGGGACACTCTGCGGGACACTCTTGTGGGACACTCTTGTGGGACACTCTTCTAGGACACTCTTGTGGGACACTCTTGTAGGACACTCTTGTGGGATACTCCTGTAGGACACTCTTGTGGGGCACTCTTATAGGACACTCTTGTGGGACACTCTTGTGGGACACTCTTGTAGGACACTCTTGTGGGACACTCTGGTGGGACACTCTTGTAGGACACTCTTGTGTTGTGGGTCACTTGCAGGACACTCTTGTGGGACACTCTTAGGAAACTCTTGTGGGACACTCTTCTAGGACACTGTTGTGGGACACTCTTGTGGGACACTCTTGTAGGACACTCTTGTGAGACACTCTTGTAGAACACTTGTGCGGGTCACTTGCAGGACACTCTTGTGGGACACTCTTACACGACACTCTTGTAGGACACTCTTGTGGGACACTCTGCGGGACACTC